CCTGGATTAATCCACCTCGTTTTAATACATTTATCATTACTGTATTCAAATAAATTCTTAGACATGGTAGAGCCATGCTGCAGCTATATTAGTAGTATAGTTGTAGCACGAATGGGTCGGCTCGACCGGGGAAGGACCACGCTCTCACAGAATACTACTGATGACAATGAAAATTACTGATCAGACCATGATCAAATTTATATGGCACCACATGAGAACCACTGAAAACGGTTCACCGAGAAAAAAGGTCCAACTTTAAATGTAACACACATGAAAAAAAATATACAGACCAATTGAGTACCTCCTCGTTTTTGAAGTCGGTTGAAAAAAATCCAAAAATGTTTTTATTTGGACACTATAGCTTTTAATTGGAAAGAACAATGGCAGAAAGAAAGAAAGAAACATTTATTTGCACAGAATACAGGTGGTACCAGATTTAACAGCGGTGCATAGTTCATGCTATATTCTGCCTTTAATAGGCATGCAAATATTTATAATTATATAAAACAATTAAAATACTATATGTTACTTACAAAAATGTGAAGTTATGTTAGTATTTATCATAAATTATATACAAAATATTATTATTATTATTATAATTTTTTTTATTATATTACATTTAATTATTATTATATATTGCTATTATTATATTACATTTTATTCAATATTACAAATAATCATATACATTAGTTTTATGTTGCATGAACTCTTGTATCGTATAAAAACACTTATCCACTAGCCATTTTCTTAACTTAATTTTAAAATATTTTAATGGAAGTTCCCGTAGACTCTTAGGCAGTTTATTAAAAACTGATATGCACATATGATATACATTCCGTTTATTTAAAGCTGTTCTACAAGATGGAATCATTATTTTAGTTGGATCTCTTGGTCTGTATTTACTAAAATGATCCCCCTTGAATTTAAAAAAATCGTTATACTTCCTTACAAAGACTGATACCTCAAGAACATACATGTTACATCAGGTTAATGTCAGTAAATTAAGTTTTTTTAAATAAAGGTTTACAGGAGTCAAGTGGACTTGCTCCACAAATAGCTCTTAAACATTTCTTTTGTGCAATGAATGCTTGACCAACATCAGTCGAATTCCCAGAGTTTCATACATAAAATTAGTTGAGAAGGAATGGTAGCGTCTATATATCAAAAATATCTTAAAATGTTAAGCATCAGTCCCTGAATAACTTTGTCAAAGAATTTTGTCCTGAGAAGGCGTCAAAAAAAAAATATATTTAGATTTGAACCTTTTTAGGTTGTCATGTCACTTCGAAAAAGTCTTGCGTCCTGTGGTTGTTTGATGTTAGCTTAATACATTCTCAACGTAATGTACCTACCTACATAATTAAGAGTTTTTAGATAATTGTATCTCTATTACATATTTGAATACTATAAATGTATATTTCTGGCATGGCTCCAGGGCCTTTGTGTCATACAGTGACATTCTCAGAAGGGCTAGAACCCAGAGCCGTAAAGCCAGTAAAAAAAACAGTGACATTTTGTTTTAGCTAGTGTTGCCATAACATTAAATGGAATTGTTACATAGTACTATGATTGACATCACGGAATATAAAAACATGTTTTTTATATTCCGTGATTGAGATAATTATTATTGTAGTAAGTTCTTTATAAGAGACTTATTTTCAACCATATCAATTTTAATTTTATTATTACTGATAGTATAGTTATTACTAATAATAGCTTAATATTTAAATATTTTGTGTTTGTGTGTTGTGTTGGTAGTTTTACAAAGTGTATACGAAAATAGTATGAATATAATAAATGGCAACACTTGAATAGAGCAAAATGATTTAAGTTATTTGATATTCCCAAAAATATTTGTTTTTTTTTTTTGTGGCTTTAATTAAAATACATTTTTATTTCAAAAATCATAAAAAAATAATAAAACACATTTTATATATAAGTTATTTCTAGACGCAATAATTTTTATCAACTATTTTTCTGCCCTTGTTCTTTTTGCATGGCATAAGCCTAACTATGGCAATCTATAATGTAATTTCAATATTGCAACACCATGTATACCTACTCATATTGCGAATATAAAGAATGAATTGAAAGAAAAATCTAGTTGAAACTTTTTTCATACTGCCCGTTTCGTCCTGGATTAATAACATAGAACGCGACAACAACACACAATGGGCTCTGTGGCAACGTTTTAGAAATGTCAACTCCACCTGCGATTCGTGCCCTCTGTTGATTGACGGAGATCTTTGCAACCGATTGATAATGAAAATACATACCAAACCACCCAAATTTCACAGACTGGTGAAGGGAACCTGACCAACGCACCAGCTCAAAGATTTTTTTTTTAAAACTGAAGTGTCAAACGAACTTACAGGTCACCTGATGGTGAGTGGTCATTGCAGTGTATGTACACCTGCAGCTAACTTCAAACAAAGAAAGTTATAGATGCGTTGTCACTTAGAAGTAGTTATACTGATTTCTATCGTGGTCGAGCCATGCTGCAACTATATATGCACTATGCTGTAGCACGAACGGTTCGGCTCGACCGGGGAAGTACCACGCTCTCACGGAGTACCAGCGTAAAATAGGAGCATAACACTGCTGTGTTTCGTATGGTGAGTGGAGAGAACTGGAGACCCTTTTTACTAAAAAAGAGGCATTCCATCTTAGTCATCACGGAAGACAACGCATCTGCATTTTGATTCTTTATTGAGGATAGATGTAGATGTCTATGGGTCACAGCAACCACTTACCATCAGGTGGACTGTGTGCTCGTTTGTTACCTTATCCTATAAAAAAAAATACTGGCTCTCCATACCCTACAGACCGGAACACAGCTATTTGGCATCAGAAATAGGTAATAGGATGATACACGGAGTCCTAGGCACAAAGATTCCTAGGAACAGTATTGATCTAGTACCTAGTACCTACCTAAAATGAAGTAATTAATGATTTCTTATATTTACACGAAGACTACACATTAAATGAAACTAATTTTTACGGATTTTATGGCGTTTAATTAAGTAATTAAGACGATTATTAATTATCTATGATTTTTCATGTTGGACTTTTTTGTTTTTCTGCCTACTTCCAAAAAGGAGACGGTACTCGGTTTTTTACGTGGTAGAGCCATGCTGCAGCTATATTATGGTTGTAGCACGAATGGGTCGGCTCGACCGGGGAAGGACCAAGCTCTCACAGAAAACCAGCGTAAAATAGCAGCTTAATGCTGCTGTGTTTCGTATGGTGAGTGTAGAGAACCGGAGACCCTTTTTACTGGCAAAGAGGCATTTCATCTTAGTCCTCACGGGTGACAACGCATCTGCATCTTGAGTCTTTATTGAGGATAGATGTAGATGTCTATGGGTCACAGTAACCACTTACCATCAGGTGGACTGTGTGCTCGTTTGTCACCCGATCCTATAAAAAAAAAAAAAAAAAAACTATTCGCCGCGTATGTTTTTTTTTTTTATGTGTGTTACCTCATAACTTTTTACTGGGTGGGTCGACTTCAATGATTCTTCTTTTATATGAAAGCTGATACTTCTCGTGTGGTCCCATATGAATTTGATCAAGGTCAGACCAATAGTTTTTGAGTTATTTGAGTTATTCTTAATAACTTATATTGCAGTCGGCTGTACAAAATTTTTAATTTTTAATTATTAGGGTTCCGTACCTCAAAAGGAAAAAACGGAACCCTTATAGGATCACTTTGTTGTCTGTCTGTCTGTCTGTCTGTCAAGACCCATTTTCTCAGAAACGCGTGGAGGTATCAAGCTGAAATTCATATGAAATACTCAAGTCTACTGTCCCTTGGAGCTGTGAAAAAATCAAACTTCTAAGCCAAAGCAATCAAAAGATACAGCCGTTTATGCCGCAAATATTATACCGCAAGGGAATCAAAACCTACAGGGTACTTCCCGTGAACTCAGAATCTTAAAATTTGGTACGAAGCAACGTATTATAGCACAGATAAAGGAAAAATTGCGAAACGCATAAATTTTTAGTTACATCATATAATAAAAATATTTTTAATAATCTTAACCTACGGATTTATTCGGAACCCTCGGTGCGCGAGTCCGACTCGCACTTGGCCGGTTTTTATTTGCTTCCAGAACAAGTTTTAATCGAAAATGTCATAATGCTTAGTGTAGTGTGTATAGACAAAATTTCTAAGTAAAGCATACTAAGGAAAAGCAAAACGGGCATAGGTTTTTCCTAGAAAGCACCCATATACGAACTTCTTATTGTAAAGTTGTTGAATGCGAGGTTTCGAATTTAGTTTTAAAAAAAAATAAAAATATTTTTAAAGAATTGATGTGTGATTCTATTTCTGTGTGTGCGTGGCATGAGTGAGTATTTTTGGATGTGCCACGCACAGACGTCGTACGTACATACCTGTCCGTGTATGTATATGTATTCAAGTATAATTGCATCGCGCTCAAAGGAAAAACGCTTCCAACACCCTGAAGGCCGTAAGCGGGAATGTGTGTGTACATAAAGTATTCATGTATAACTACAGGGCTCGAAGGACAAACACTCCCAACGATCCCCTAAAGAACGCTGGCATGCATGTGTGTGTATGTAAAGTATTCGTGTATAACTGCATCAGGCTCGAAGGACCAACGCTTCTAACGATCCTCTAAAGACCGCGAGCGTGCATACGTGCGTGCATGTGTGTGTATGTAAAGTATTCATGTATAACTGCACCAGGCTCGAAGGACCAACACTCCCAACGATCCCCTAAATAACGCGAGCGTGCATGTGTGTGTATGTAAAGTATTCATGTATAACTGCATCAGGCTCGAAAGAACAACGCTTCTAACGATCCCTTAAAGTTCGCGAGTGTTCATACGTGTGCGCATCTAAGTTTACGTAGATGCGCACACGTATGAATAGTAAGTAACGTATATAAGTGCATCGGACTCGTGAGATCATCGCTTTCAACGTGCCCCGAAGCCATAGAAGCTATACCCTGAAGAGCTGGAAGTTGCACGCACCTGGTCCCTGTGGCGGAGGGCCCCGCATGCCCTGCGCGTAGGCGCCGGGGCTGCAGGGCCCGCAACCGGGCCGCGGCGGCGTCATGCGCGGCCCGCCCAGCAGCGCCGCGCCACCAGCGCCGCCGCGCTCCAGCGAGTTGCCCATCATACCCTGACCTGCAAGCCCAGCGCTCCAGTCACAACGGTTTACACACATTTAAACACATGCCGTTAAGTCTTAAATCATTTTGACTTAGTGATAGACAGCACGAGATTTAACGGCATCTTAAAATTGAGCAACGTTTGAGTATTTGGACATAAAGGTGACAAACGAGCACACAACGGTTTTAACGGTGGTAGAGCCTTGCAGCAGCTTTTGCTGTTGCACGTATGGGCCGGCTCGAGCCGGGTTAGTACCACGACCTCACAGAATACCGGCGTGAAGTGGAAGCTCTGCTTCCGCGTTTCGTCTGGTGAGTGCAGGTGACCGGATGCCCAATTCCCCCCCCCCCCCCCATCAACATGGTAGCGGAATTACGTCAAAAACTACCCCAGGAGGGTACCAGTACCCCTGGAGAATCCCTCGCTGAGCATCCACGACCATGCTATTCCACTCCTGAGCGTGGGTGCTCAGGCTGCCCCGCGTATTCTGGGGGGGGCAAAATTCCGCTCAACACAATAACTGCTCGGGGCAAACTGAGCAACAAGACCAAGGCGACCCCTGCCACGCTATCCGTGAATTTCTGCAACATCAGGGGACTTCACTCGAACCTAAACGCCGTCCACTACCATCTTGAGACGGCGAAGCCGGCCTTGCTCTTTCTGACCGAGACGCAGGTGTCCTCTCCGGCTGATACTTCGTATCTCTCCTACCCGGGGTACAAATTGGAGCACTCCTTTGTGCCTCGGGCTGGAGTTTGCGTGTATGTCAGAGAGGACATCTGTTCTCGACGCCTCGGCAGTCTTGAAGGTTCGGACCTGTCCATCCTTTGGCTACGCGTAGACAGCGACGACCATCCGCGCGTCTACGTGTGCCTCTATAGGTCCCATAGCGGTAATGCCGAAACAGACCGACTCATCGACCACGTCCAAATGGCTACAGATTCCTTGCTACAACAGGTCCCATCCGCAGAGATCGTGATCCTTGGCGATTTTAACGCCCACCACGCCGAATGGCTCGGTTCACGTTTAACCGATCATGCGGGGAGATCTGTTTATGACTTTGCCTTGGCATATGGTCTGACACAACTGGTTACATCGCCTACGCGGATTCCAGATGTTGAGGATCATACACCTTCCCTGTTGGACCTTCTGCTGACCTCTCATCCGGACGGATATCAGGTTTCCGTCGATGCCCCTCTTGGCTCTTCGGACCATTGTCTGATCCGGAGTGTGGTGCCACTCACGCTCCCCTCGCGGTTGCGTTCTGCAGGTTGCCGCCGTGTTTGGCATTACAGGTCGGCGGATTGGGACGGAATGCGGTCTTTCTTTGCTTCCTACCCATGGGGGCGGGTTTGCTTCTCGCCGGATGATCCCAGCGCTGTTGCTGACTCTGTCACTGATGTAGTGCTACAGGGAATGGAACTATTTATTCCATCATCTGTGGTACCCATCGGAGGCAGATCTCAGCCTTGGTTTGGTCGCTCCTGTAAGACTGCATTACGCAGTAAGCAGGAGTGTTATCAAGCCTGGGCTGCGGCTTCGGTGACTCGGGATGTAAACACCAGCACACTCAAAAAGAAGTATAACTTCGCCTCCAGGTCCTTCAAAAGACTTATTGCCAAGGCAAAGTCAGAGCACATAGACAGAATTGGCGAGAAACTAGTTCGCCTTCCTTCGGGAACCCGTGCATTCTGGTCTCTCGCCAAGGCTGTCCAAGGGAATTTCTGTAAGCCATCACTACCATCTCTGCACAGGGAGGACGACTCACTGGCCCACGACGCAAAAGAGAAGGCCGACCTTTTAGGCTCCCTTTTTGCGTCCAACTCGACTGTTGATGACGGGGGGAACACACCGCCGACCATCCCGCGGTGTGAGTGCTCCATGCCGGATGTGCGATTCTCACAGCGCTCGGTTCGCAGAGCACTCCTCTCCCTTGACATCCACAAGTCGAGTGGGCCTGACGGAATCCCCCCCATTGTGCTGAGGACGTGTGCTCCGGAGTTGGCACCGGTTCTAACGCGTCTTTTCCGGTACTCCTACTCCCTAGGCGTAGTCCCGAAATCATGGAAGACAGCTTTTGTCCACCCGATCCCTAAAAAAGGCGACCGCTCAGATCCGTCCAACTACAGGCCTATCGCCATCACCCCCTTGTTCTCCAAAATAATGGAATCCGTTGTAAACTGCCACCTCATGCGGTACCTTGAGGATCACCAGCTGATTAGTGACCGCCAGTACGGTTTTCGTCGGGGTCGATCAGCTGGTGATCTTCTGGTCTACTTAACTCATAGATGGGCGTTGGCAGTAGAGTCCAAGGGGGAGGCATTGGCCGTTAGTTTGGACATTGCGAAGGCCTTCGATCGGGTTTGGCACAAAGCGCTTCTTTCGAAGCTCCCTTCCTATGGGCTTCCCGAGAAATTATGCAATTGGATCACCAGCTTTCTTGCAGATCGGAGCATCAAGGTCGTTGTAGACGGTGCATGCTCCGACTACAAGCCTATTAACGCTGGTGTTTCACAAGGCTGCGTGCTATCACCAACGCTGTTTCTTCTGCATATCAATGATATGTTGCAAGCTGGTAGCATTCATTGCTATGCAGATGACAGCACTGGTGATGCTCTATACACCGGCCGTGCCAATATTTCTCGGGAAAACGTCACCGAGTACCGGAACAAACTTGTGTCTGAAGTCGAGTCTTTACTGGACAAAGTCTCGGATTGGGGGCGACTAAATCTAGTCCAGTTTAATCCTCAGAAGACACAAGTTTGCGCGTTTACCGCTAAAAAGAACCCCTTTGTCGTATCTCCTCAGTTTCAAGGTACTCCCCTTGTTGCCGCAGCCAGTATCGGAATCCTCGGCGTCGACATATCGAGTAGCGTGCAGTTTCGCGGTCACTTGGAAGAGAAGGCCAAATTGGCCTCTAAAAAGCTTGGCGTGCTCAGCAGAGCGGGACAGTATTTCATGCCGGCTCAACGCCTGCAACTTTACAAGGCGCAGGTTCGGCCTCACATGGAATACTGTTCCCATCTCTGGGCTGGGGCTCCCCAGTGCCAGCTTCTTCCACTTGACCGCATCCAGCGCAGAGCGGCTCGAATCGTCGACGACCGAGTCCTTTCCGATCGGCTCGACTCATTGGCACTGCGAAGAGATGTTGCATCTCTTAGCATTTTCTTTCGCATTTACCATGGGGAGTGCTCTGAGGAATTGTTCGGATTAATCCCAGCCGCCAAATTTTACGAACGCACATCGCGGCAGAACTCCCGATACCATCCACACCATCTGGATGATTGGCGGTCCACCACTGTGCGATTTAGAAGATGTTTTCTTCCTCGCACAACTTCCTTGTGGAATAGTTTACCACCAGCGATTTTTCCGGACCGATACGACTTAGGGACCTTCAAGAAAAGAGCCTACTCCTTTTTAAAAGGCCGGCAACGCATCTGCAATTCCCCTGGTGTTGCGGTTGTTCATGGGCGGCGGTAGTCACTTACCATCAGGTGAGCCGCATGCTCGTTTGCCCCCTCTCCTATAAAAAAAAAAAAAACAATCCAGCTGGTGGTAAGTGAAAAAAAAAATTGTCTCGCTGGGTTTCTTGCTGGGTCTTCCTAACACAAAAGTATTTGCGAACCAGTGGTAAATTAAACATAAGAATGACTTTCAAAGGGTATTATTTATAATTAAAAATTGTTTCTTTATTTATACTATCGCCCAAAAACATCTTAAGAAACAAAATGCAGATACATTGTTACCCCTTTTTTTTTTTTTTTTTTGCGGATGGAAAATCATCAAATGACGCCTTTCGCTCTGGGTGGAGCGGAAGGGAGTGTCAGACTTTTACTGACTAAAAACCATCCGTGTTCCTTCAGTGCCCTTACGTTCCGGAGCCGCGGTATCTCTTTCGAACAGCCCGCAGCCCCGGCAGGCGTCGGCCCTTGCGGGCCCCTTCACGCTGCTGACAGCTCTTTGAGGCGCGCGTGGAACAAAACGCGCCGTCGACACGGCCTGTCGTCGTTAGACGGACGGACGGCGAGCTACCCATTGCTCGCCGTCCATAGGCCCGCGCCTACGGTGGCCGGGGGCCACGACGTAGCCCCCGACGCCCGGGGCGTCTCCCGCGGCGGCCGGGAAGGAAAGCTGCTGCTCTCTCCTTCTCCCGCTCCGCCACCTCCTTCGCTAGCATCACTGCTTCGCAGAAGGTGGTGACGGCATCCCATTCCGTCTCGCTCCGGACCATGGCTTCGACCAGGGCCGGACGCGAGAGGTCGCCGCCGCCTATCGCCGCTACGAGGACACGGCGGTGCTCCGCCCAGGCAGGGCACACCTCCACGGTGTGCTCCACCGTGTCTTCCGGTCGATCCTCGCAGTGGGAGCACCCGGGCGTTTCCTCCCGCCCGATTCGGTGCAGGAACCTCCCGAACACACCGTGTCCGGTGAGGACCTGCGTCAGGCGGAAGGTGAGGACGCCGTGGCGTCTCTCAAGCCACTCCTCAAAGAGGGGTCTTATCGCCGCTATAGTGGCGTGCCCAGCACGGGGTTGCGACAGTCGCTCTCTCCATGTCGCCATGAGATTTCCCCCCGGCATAGTGCCTCCGCGCGCCATTCGTGTAGGCGCGCGAGGACTATCGCCTCCAGATCCCATGGCGGCAATCCGGCAAGGAGGCACGCTGCCTCGCGGGAGATCGTGCGGTAGCCGCGAGCCATTCTTACGGCAACCACCTTTTGGGGCGCGTTCAGGTGGTGAACGGCAAGCCGCGCCAAACCACGCGCCCACACCGGGGCCCCGTAAAGGGCCATGGACCGCACAATCCCCGCGTAGAGCCTCCGGCAGGAGGCGTTTGGCCCCCCCAGGTTCGGCAGGAGCCGCCTGAAGGCAGCCCCGGTCCGTTCCAGTTTGGGAGCCAAACGTCGGAAGTGCTCAACGAAGTTCCATCGGCCGTCGAGGACGAGTCCTAGGTACTTCAACGTCGACTCGACGCCGATGGATACCCCTCCTACCATCGCTGAGGATCCCGGTGGTGGCCTGTTCCGAGGACCATGGAAGTGCATGGCCTCGGACTTGTGCAGAGCCACCTCAAGACCCAGCTGCCGGATCCTCTCAACGACTATCGCAACCCCGCGTGTCATATTTTCAGCCGCCGCCTCGTACGACCCCCCCTGTGCCAGTACCAGCGTGTCGTCAGCGTAGCAAACTACGCTGACGCCGGTAGGGAGGTCGGCGCGCAGCACCCAGTCGTAACCGATGTTCCACAGGGGCGGCCCCAGAAACATTGTTACCCCTGAAGACTAAAATGAATTCCTAATAGAAAGGATCTCCAGTTCTCTACACGTAACATACGAAACACAGCAGCATTAAACTGATATTTTATGCTGGTATTCTGTGAGAGCGTGGTCTTTCCTTATTCAGGCCAACTCATTTGTGCTTCAACCATAATGTAGCTGCAGCATGGCTCTACCACCTTTAAAACATCAGACATAATTTATTACATTTGCTATATATTGGCATCCCCATAGATTGCCTCATCGGAATGTCTCCTCTTTGGCAACAAGGTGGCAACAAGGTAACAAGGGTGGAACCCATAATTGAACAAGGGTTACATATTATTATTATAATATACTATCTGTTTCAACAGACGTTGTACCACCCTTTGTTGTAGGTAGAGCGATTTGATTTGAATTTTAATTTTTTAATAACTCAACCTATGGGGTCTAGATCTAGATCTCATATATTATGGACAGGAGTAATTTTGGTTCACAAATATAGCATTTGTTGATAAGTTGACTACAACACCACCTTTTGAATCAAATACAATATATACCATATGAATATGGCTTCAATTGTTATGTTAATAGTTATGGACCGTCTAATCAAATACAATATATACCATAATGAAAATGGCTTCAATTGACCAAGTTGTTCAGAAACCACACAATCACTAACAGAAAAGCACCAACAGTCCATCAGTCCATCTGCATAGTCCATAATTATGATAAAGTAAACTGCAGGTGTATTAAAGCTGCGGCATGATGGGTTTGATTTGAAGAACACTCCTCTCAAACCTTAAAAAAGCAGTACAAAACTGTTGTATTTCGTATGCTGAGTGAACAAAACCAGAACAGAATAGAACAGAAAATTGCTCTTTTTATTTTTTGCATCTATCACATTACTTCCAGACTTCCTGGGTCGAGTGGAAGAGAATACCAAAAGACATTAAGTCCGCCGTTTGTAATCCTTTTTATTAAAGTGTACAATAAAGTATAAATAAATAAATAAAATTGGTCCACACTTGTGGTACTGTCATTAAAACATATCACATTGTGTGTATGTCATATGTTTTAATTTTAAAATCATTAAATTGATTTACAATTGGCGAAGGGGCACCCATGAATTTTTCTGTCACCAGGGCGGCGCCACTTTGGAGTGAAGTGAAAGATTTAGCAGATTTCATAGCAGGAGAATTAAATTTATCAAAAAGTGTGTAGAGATTAATGTTTCTTTCTGAAATATTAGTTGTATTTTATATTAATTTGATAATTTGATTAGAAATAGATATATCAAACTACGGATATTCTTAAAAGTTGAAGAATTAAAAAAAAGTTAAATTGTGTTTGAAAAATTAAAGAATTGGAAAATGAGGCATTGTCTTGTGTTTTTATATACACTAGAAACGCATACAACTTATAATTAAATCGTAACTTTTATCTCTCTCTATAAATACAGGGGTATGTTTCAAGGAGTAGCCAAATTTCAAACTTAAGTTCAAATATAAAAATAATGATATACCGTTATTGAAGTTTTTGAAAATACGAGAAAAGAAAGAATTATTCGAAATTTTTTATTTATTTGAAATTATTCTTTTATTTGAAATTATTCCAAATTGAATGTGATTTATGGGCAACAATTAGGCGTACGCGCGCTTTGCGTGCGATTCAATTCCAACGTTTTTGCCGACCGGTCAACCCTTACGAATGTGTACGTATGTGGGATAAAGAAAGGACTTACTGTAATTAGGTGTCTAGTTCACTGATACCACAATTCACCACCAATATGTCCATCAATGGCGGGCACGTGCCCTACAATTACCAGTTCTTATCACTGCGATCACTGCCTCTTTATGAGTTTCTTATAATTTTTGAGTAGAATTATTGATGCGGAATTAGGATGAACTTCCTAATTATGATGAAATCCTTTTAAGGATTTTTGCGAAACTCAGGCGCACAGGTTTGTTATCGACGCGATGATTGATCAAAGACTGAAGGGGCAGGGTTCAATCGAAGTAGGAAGGTGACCAATGTGTGTGAGTGAATGAGTGATTAGCGAATGTAATAGTTAAAAGAGTGTATGAATAAAATGGCCAATCCAATGTACGTAGTAAAATAAAGCATTACCACGCATCTTGAATTTAAAAGATAAAAAGGAAATAATATTTGAGTTGTTTTTTTTTTATTATTTTTCTTCATCAATGCCTATATTACTTATTCTGAACCTTCTCTGCAAATTTGGCCAGAAACAGAAACAGAAGCTTTTTTTTTTGAATATAGATTATAAATAATACTTATCAAAAATCACTCTTTTGATTAATTACCACTGGTTCGAAAAAAACCTCTTTCCTTTCTAACCCAGGGGGAATTAAAAAAAAACAGCTCACAATCATGTAATCACAATTAACCGCACAAAACAAATTAGAAATATTTGGTAGTGATCACCTCATTCCAAGGGGTTATTATGATCCATAAATTCCTTAATATTATAATAACCCTTTTTATACAAACTTTGTTTAATAAAGTTTTTGAACTTTTACTTTATTTTTACTGGTTACTGCAAAATAACCCTGTATAATGATGCAATCTGTGACCATCTACATGAAAAATATGTTCACCTTACTCCCAATTAGCACATCTGGTGAGCGTACGATTATTGGCACTGATTAAGAGTTTCTTACTTTTAAGGTTGACTAAAGATATATGATCATACCTGGGGGTCCGTTAAAGTCGTTGCCCATTCCCATCCTCACTCCCGAACGCGGTCCGCCTGAATACCACGGGCCTATGAACGGCTGCCCGGTGCCCATTAGTTGAGCCTGTGGCCCGTGGGGCGAGGGCTGCGAACCGGGATGTGGCGCTGGTGGCGACGGCCGCAGCGAAGAGTTGGGGAAGAACCCTGGTGGCATACCACCGCCACCCATTCCTGAAACATTAAACAAAACCTGTTATTTGAATGTTAAAGCCAGATCTAGAAAATCTAAACTGATTCAAGTATAAAACTAGTACTGTAATCCCACAGCTCGATAAAGAATTCGATAAAGAATCAAAATGCAGACACAGTTTCACCCCTGAGTACTAAGATGGAATGCCTCGTTTCTAATAAAAGGGGTCCTCTACACTCACCATACGAAACAGGAGCATTAAGCATAATTCTGTGAGAGCGTGGTCCTTCCCCGGTGGAACCGAACTATTCGTGCTACAACTATAATATACTTGCAGTTGGATCTACCACGTCAAAGATGCTGAAGGTATGGCGATTATGGAAAAAATAATTGACTTGTATATTTCTGCGTAAGGAATGGGCGGACTGCGTGTTTAAATTGCAACACTCAAACGGTTTGTGTTTGTTTCGCAGAAAGGATTGTAAATTTTACTAGTAAAAACAAAAAGTTATGTCGTGAAGGGTAACGCGAACTACGACAAAGAAATCAGAAAAAATTATATTTCATATTACCAGTAAGTCAAAAATATGGTTAAGGACTACATTCTCGTAGAATGTCAGCGTAAAGTAGTAGCAATATGCTGCTGTGATTCGTTCAGAGAACCGTTCATTCTTAGTCTTTAAGGGTGACAATGCATCTGAATTTTGATTTTCAATCAAGGAAAAATGTAGGTGACTATTATATATGGCTATAGTATATATTATATGTGACTATTATAATGACTAAAACTGATGTATCATTTGATTTTTATTAAGCTGACTATAGAAAAATAAACGAAAATTTATCAGGAAATCTTAACATAACTGATAACCAAGTAGATGAGCATATTGTTGTTTCAAATACATACTTAAGTTGAGAAGAATGTAAGTATAATACCACACAAAAGAAATAAAAAATAAACCATACCAATAAAATAAACAAAGAAATTTTGAATGTTACAAAATGGAGAACAGAAGTATGGAACACATATACAACGTGTCCCAAAATTCAACGATAAGCCAACACCGGAGGATAGACCTGCCCCGGACTAATCGGGTAAAAAAAGAAAAAAAAATATATCCCAATTATATTTTAAGTTATATAAAAAAAATGAAATTCTTCAGAAATTGAGACCGTTTATGATATTTTTCACTACCATGACCACAATTTTTTAAATATTTTTTTCTTTTTTTTTTATAGGCAACCTGAATAGTACTGCTATCTACCACAATTCTTAAAAACTCCAGAATAACTCTTGTTTTATCACGAAAATTAATGAAACTTATTTTATTCCCTAAATTTTTTGAAGACTTTTACTTTTAACCAAATTTAACTTATCGTGGTGTAAAAAAAAAGTATGATCACTAGTATGGCAAGTTTTTTTAAAAATTGACGCAACTAACCAATATTCCAAAATGGTATAATACTCTAGGAAAACAAGTTATAAAAAAATATGGGCCTATTATTTCTTAACAGGGGCCAAATTCCTTAAATTGTAATTGTCAGTAATCACTTTTACTACATGCCCAAAATGGGTTCCTGTTACAATTTCTAGGAATTCGAATGGGGCATTAATACCTTAGATGTTAGAGAGAGATAGATAGATAGAGATATTTACGTTAAAAAGAGACAACAACAGGGCAGGTAGAGAAGCTGTTATTATTCTCAGCAAGTCGGTTCAGTACGCTCTGCTCCTTTGTTTACTGCGCACCGTACCCAATTCAACTTACGTGGCCCTCGTACATACTATCGACTTTTGGCTTGGCTTTTTGGACTGGAATCGACCTGCAAACTTAACTGACCTGGCATTATTTGGACTGAAAGTGATCTGCAAACTGAACTGACCTGGCATTATCTTGGACTACGATTGTGTGTTTTGTGATTTAGAGTTCTGGCGCATTTTGGACTGTTTGGCGTTTAACATGCCGCAACCGTACACACCACAGGAATACGCTAATATGCATTTAATCTATGGAGAATGCCGATGTAATGCTAACGCTGCTAGCAGACTGTATCCAGAAAGATACCCAAATGCTCAAAGATATCCTGATTATCGAGTGTTTATTAATGTGCATCAAGCGTTTTCGGAGGGTCGTATGCCATCCAATAGGAGCAGCGCTGGAAGACCTAGATTGGATCGTGATGAAGAAGTTCTCAAGGAGATAGAAAATGACTCGACTACTTCGGTACGTGCCATAGAAGAAGCTACAGGAATCCCGAAAAGTTCTGCACATCGAATATTAAAACGTCACAAGCTTCACCCATATCACTACAGGCGTGTGCAGACGTTATTACCGCGGGACTATCCGCTACGGGTCACATTTTGCCGTGTAATGCTGCAAAGGCACAGTGAAGATCCCCACTTCCTAGACAAAATTCTATGGTCGGATGAAACAACGTGCAAGAAAGATGGGTATTTAAATCTTCACAATCTACATAGTTGGAGTAATGAAAATCCACACTTGATGAGACAAGACAAATCCCAATATCAATTCAAGGTTAACCTATGGACCAGCATATTAAATGGAAAAGTAATTGGGCCCTTTGAGTTACAAGGAAACTTAGATGGCAATAGTTATTTAAACTTTTTACAAAATGACTTGCAAGAATTGTTAAACGACGTGCCCTTAAGTGATCTTCAAAACATGTGGTTCCAAAATGATGGTTGCCCAGCACATTATGCCCGTCCTGTGCGAGAATATTTAAATCAAGAGTATCCAGGGCGTTGGATCGGGCGACTTGGTCCTATCTTATGGCCACCCCGTTCACCCGATTTGAACCCCCTGGACTTCTTCTATTGGGGTTGTCTTAAAAACAGGGTCTACTCAAAACCCATTGTGACATTGGACGAGCTTCGTCGAAATATCACTCAGGCTGCTGATTACATTAATAGCAGAAGATATGCAAGACAAATAAAACGATCATTTTTAAGGTGATGTCGTGCATGTATTAATGCTGGTGGCAAACAGTTCGAACATTTGCTATAATGTTAATAACTTAATAAATTACACGTGAAACTGTTTGTACCATTTGTTTTGAAATATTAAACATTTTTCAAGAAATAATACTTTTATTACACCCGACCGTCATTTGGCCCCTGTTAAGAAATAATAGGCCCATATTTTTTTATAACTTGTTTTCCTAGAGTATTATACAATTTTGGAATATTGGTTAGTTGCGTCAATTTTTAAAAAAACTTGCCATACTAGTGTTCATACTTTTTTTTTACACCACGATAAGTTAAATTTGGTTAAAAGTAAAAGTCTTCAAAAAATTTAGGGAATAAAATAAGTTTCATTAATTTTCGTGATAAAACAAGAGTTATTCTGGAGTTTTTAAGAATTGTGGTAGATAGCAGTACTATTCAGGTTGCCTATAAAAAAAAAAGAAAAAAATATTTAAAAAATTGTGGTCATGGTAGTGAAAAATATCATAAACGGTCTCAATTTCTGAAGAATTTCATTTTTTTTATATAACTTAAAATATAATTGGGATATATTTTTTTTTCTTTTTTTACCCGATTAGTCCGGGGCAGGTCTATCCTCCGGTGTTGGCTTATCGTTGAATTTTGGGACACGTTGTATAATATCATCAATATGACAGAAGATTTGTAACGCAACTTTAGAAATGTTAATCATAAAGTTATTAATCTGTCTAAATATAGAAGACCTCCTTTTTATAGATTAAGGCATCTCTAAACTCACCATACCTAACTCTTAAAAAGTCACAAGAGCTTGAACTTTAACAGCTATGTCAGAGAACGAGATGGGCTAATTCACTTCATAAATTTGTCAAATATACTTTGACTATGAAAAAGCTTTTGACCTTATACCCTTATGCTGACTTATAAACAAATTAGAACATTTCGTTATACACAGGAAATTGTTGGCCTGGATCCATGATTTTCTGTCAAATATAAAATTTTGCATAAGAGTTGGAAGTTGGAGTTCAAATCAAAACCCAGGGAAAAATTCAGCGGAGTCCCACAGGAATCTGTTTTTGGACCATTAGTATTTGTCCTTTGTCTCGGATTTAAAAAGCATGTTACAGCTACTATATTCGTAGTTTTTTTAACCCACGTACATAATGCATAATTTTCATATAGACTAAAGGATCTGGTCGTCATCTACACATCCTTACCATAGAAAAAAAGGCAAATTCTAAACATTATACCAGAGGACTTTAGAGTAAATATTTGATATGGCTCATATTTTCATGAAAATATACTGGAAAATGTTCGATGGAAGGCTGCAGAGATGGTAAAATAACTGCAAAAATGACATATGAAGCGCGACTGAAAAAGCTTAACCTAAGTCAAAATATTCGAAAAACAAAATTTCATACATGCTTGATTATTATAGTAATCAGAGAGTTCATTACAATATTTTAAAAGCACAGAATAAATGATAGTAGTATTTACTATATTTGGGGCTCTACACTCTATTGTGAAAAGTCAGAATGTGTCCAAAAAGGCACGTATGGCAATTCACAATGCTGTGTTAGTACCTACTTTAATGTATGGTAGTGAAAGTTGGGTGTGGCAGAAGAAGCATGAGAGTAGAATAAATGGTGTAGAAATGCGGTCATTAAGGAGTATGTTAGGGATGAAGCTGAATGACAGAGTGAGAAATTGTTTAATAAGAGAAGAGTGTGGTTTGCAAGATGATGTTGTGACCAGGATTAAGAAAGGAATGCTTCGGTGGTTTGGCCATGTAGAAAGAATGAATGAGGAAAGAGTGACAAAGCAAATTTATTGGTTGCAGAGGTGAACGGCATAGTCGGAAGGGTCGCCCTAGGCGAAAGTTTATCGACCAAATTGGCGATATATTAAAAATGGGCCAAATTAAGAGTACCTTTAACCGACGAGCGTGTATGCGTAGGTATATGGATGTGGAGGAAGCGAGAGAGGTGTGTCAGGATCGTGCCAAATGGAAGTCCATAATCTCTGCCTACCCCTCTGGGTGACAGGCGTGAGTGTTTATGTTTATGTTATGTATTTACT